CCTCCATCATCATGAGGGCTGTCCAAATTTCTTCCTTTGTTAGCGGTTCGTCTAGCATGGAGCTCTGTTATTTTTTTATTCAAGGGTTGAAGGAACTTGTCTCTCTCCTTCACCCTTTGTTCTTGAGGTTGATGTTTGCATTCCGATGTGAATTTTTTTTTATAAAAATCTCTCGCGATTTTCGTGCATGCTGCTGTCGATGTTGCCAGAGACTGGTGATGCCCTTGGGGATCAGAGAGAGCTGACTTGATGATAAAATTAAGAAATCACAATTGACTGGAAGTTTCACAAACTTATATTGAAAAGGCGCACCAGCATACTTGACAAAAACAAGAAAATGTTCTCCACTTGTGTGCCCTGGCTCCACTGAGCAGCCTGCACTCAAAGCTTTGCGGTACGGGGCCAGAACACACTGGCTATGGCAAAGCCCACACTCTCTGACTCCATCAGATTTGACAAGTGGGGCCCTCCCTCCCATCATTGCAAAACTATATGGAAACTAACTGAAGTCTGCCTCTACCTTGCTACTTTTGTCGAGGTCGGTTGCCTGGGCCTCAAGGTCCTAGCTGGCTCTGCGGTACGGGGCCAGAACACACTGGCTATGGCAAAGCCCACACTCTCTCCCTCAGCTTTGACNGGCCAGAACACACTGGCTATGGCAAAGCCCACACTCTCTCCCTCAGCTTTGACAAGTGGGGCCCCTCATTCCCGTCATTGCAAAACTATGTGAAAAACCAACTGAAGTCTGCCTCCCCTATTCCGCTAACCACTCGTTCTCCACAATCCTCCACAATCACAACGCGCTTCCCTATTCTGCTTCCTCAATCCACAAACGACACACTGCCCTTTACGCTCACTCCCCCACTCCCTCACCCCCCCAATAACTTGCTACTTCAAATTGGACCTTTCCCCTACCCAATACGCTCCTCCCATTTCAAAACATAAACCTTACCTCGCTCCCCCACCTCGTCACCTATCCGCCCCGGTTTTCCACTTGTACTCCTGATCCCCCTCCTCACTGCTCTTAACCCCAATCTAACCCCAATCAATCTCCCACACACTCCACCCACATTATTCCCCCTCCTTCCGATCGACTCTTAGTACAACCTCTGGTCAGCCCCTCATCTCCCTTCACCTCCCCCGTGCTAACAGTTACTATACCTCACCCCTGCCCGACGTTGTCACCCATCACCGTTCCCCACCGTGTCTACATGAATCCCACCCTGCCACTTCAGCAGGTTCCTTACCATTAAACCCCACCTTTCTCTTTCTCCCCCTCCCCAACGTCACCACGTGTAAGCCTACAATCCCTAACCCCGGGACGACTCGGGTCCCCCACACGGCACCCCACACTGCTCTAACACCAATCTCTCTCCCACAAACTTAACCCACGCTATCCACCCTTCCTCCGGTCGACTCGCAGCTTAACTCCCAAACAGCCCCTCACCTCCCCTTCCCAAGCTGACTTCACCTCTCTCCTGCCTGACGCGTCCACCCATTACTTTCCCCTACCTTGTCTACAAAAATCCCACCCGGTCACTTCAGTGGGTCCATCGCCATTATTCCCCCCAGTATTCCCCACCTTTCTCGTCCTTCCCCCTCCACGTGTATTCCCTCAACCTTTACCCCCCAAACATCTTTTGTCCCCCACACGATACCCCACCAATCCCCCCACTGCTCTCCACCCCCCGCTAGTCCTTGGAAACTAGGTTGCTCTATTCTCCCCCCTCCTACTCGACGACTTCTGTCACCAAAGTACCTTCCCCGTCCCCGTCCCCTCCTCGCCCGCCAATCCCCAATTGTAACCACTGCATTCGCTGACAATTAACCTTGCCCACTCCCATCCTGCTCCACCTCACCTCTCTACATCATTTGGCACCCCCTAGCGCCCCTACACGGCATAGTAGCCCCCCCCCCCACACCCACATCATGTAAAGCGCAAAACCCCTCCTTATAGACACCAACCACTTCTCTCCCTGCAACCGACACCCATAGCTCTCGACCCCCCATCCCAGTACCACCATCGCAAAATCACACAACCGATCGGACCCTAGGCATTACAAAAAAAAAAAAAAAAAGTGAAAAAAAAAAAAATTGAACCTACCCACATCCCTTCACACGGAACCTAACGCATCATAACCATCCCAATCTACCCCGTAATCTGTCATATATAACACCCACTCCCTCCCTTAGCAAGACTAACCATACTCCTCGTTCAGTCCACATCCAGGGACAATCGAAAGGGAACGATGCAGAGCCCTAGGGGGAACAGGGCCCCCGCGTCCTTCAAGCAGACGCTCCAAGGCTCATCTGTAAATGGTCGGCCCGCGCAAATGAACAAAGCATCAGTCTTTGACAATGAAGCTCTGAAATTCATCATAGAAAAGACTAAAGTGCAAGGGGAAATGCTGATCGAACCGTCAACAAACACAAAGGGGAAAGAATAAGAGAAAATAATCTGGAAATACCCAGACGGCAAAGTGCCGGAATTGGACGAATTGCACGAAAAGCATGCTGTTGTTTTTAATTTTGCAAGGAATGGGGCAGAGTTGATGCCAGCAGAGGAAAGGAAGTGGATCACAGCCACGGTAAAAAAAAAAGACAAATTGAGAACAGTAAACAATCTTTTGTACCCGCATATGGAAGAATGTCGAAAACAGGCCTCAAGTAAATATTCAGGCCCGCCTTCACTTAGGGCGGGCACGGGCTTGCGAGGGGCTAAAGCCAAGACCAGTTGTATGTCTGCTAAGGGCCCCGCGAGGGCTCATTCCTCGCACAAATTAAGAAGAACATAAAAAAAGTTCTGGTCCATACTTTTGTGCAATTGGTCATTTTTCAAGTTGTTTTGGTATCAAAGTTCACCCAGCAGCCGAAAAGGTCCGTTTTTCACTGCACGCCCCCTATTGGTCTTTTTTTTAAGTTTTTTCAACTTTTTTTAGTGCGAGGCACAGGCCCTCGATTTGTTTTACAGGGCCTATTTTTCGCTCAGTCGGCCGCCCTAAGTGAAGGCAAGCCCGACCGAGGCCCTCAGGCCATTTTGGGTCACTACGCAACTGGGGAAATTTCAGGCAGTTGCGCAGCGCCAGTTGGTTGGAAGCGCCCAGGCCCAGGCTGCCTCGCATTGCGTGTAACTGAGGCAGGCCCTGGGCCGGATACACAAACTGGACCGAACAAAGGCTGAGGGCAGTTGGGTGCTGGTAACCACCACAGGCCCTGGGCCTGTTGACTTCGGAYTGAGGCTCAGCCTCCCTGGGCCTACCGGAAGCTTCTGGGCCGGGGCCCAGTACCGCAGCACAGCACGCAGCAGCAGGCCACTTCGATATAGGGAAGGGCCTGCCTACGCATTGGACATTGGGGCACTGGCTGCTTTGTGTGCAAGCGCTGCTGCGCTATTGCCTGCCAGGCTCTCGCGCTCATGGGCGAGCTGGAAGGAGCAGGCAGCCATAGCCGAGCTGCGCTGCTGTATGCTGGATGGGGCGCATGGTGGTCCTTGGGTGCAAGTGGCATCTGTGAGTTGGGGAACGAGGTTGTGAGTGATAGGAGAGACATACCTGGTGCTTGAAGCGTGCGGCATTGGCTGAGATCTGCTCGTACTTCGGGGAGCTGTTGACGTCATCAGCGGCATTGTAGAGTAGGCTAGATAGGATCTGCCATCTGTAGTCTGGGCGCCGAGCGCCAGATAGGATATCAACATTGGTTCTTCGTTGATGATGAGGATGAGACTATTCCAGCATTGTCAAATATGAGCTTTTGGTGTGCTCTTATTTGGTGAAACTCGTGATGCAATTCTGCTTTTGGTTCGACGTCACGACTATCTAGTCTCATGTGTATGATGCTGTTTGATTACTGAAGTTCGCTATTGCTCATCTTCCTTGCAGTAGTATCAAACTTAATCAAAGTTCACCCAGCAGCTGAAAAGTTCCGTTTGAGGGTGCATGCCCCCACGAAAGTCCAGCTACTTTTAATAACAAAAAAAGGTTCTACTCCTTGTGGACACTATTTACCTTCAGCTCCTCTGTGTTGCTATGCTGCTATGACACTTCGTTTCATCGTATACACACTGATCTTCTGCACCTTGTTTTGGATATGAGAGTCCCAACGAAGGTAGTTTGTCTGTGACGCCTTTTCCCTTTGGCTGTTTGGTGAAGTGTTCTCATTTTCCTGGGATTGCATTCACCCTTTTACTTAAGCAAACTAGCTTTTGTTTGTGTGTGACACTGTGTGTGCATGTGCTTGATGTGTGTGTGTGTGTGTGTGTGTGTGTGTGTGTGTGTGTGTGTGTGTGTGTGTGTGTGTGTGTGTGTGTGTGTGTGTGTGTGTGTTGTGTGTGTGTTGTCCTGAAGGTGGTTGTGGTGTTGTTTTTTCGCTGATCAGTAATGGGATTCAAGGACGACAAGGGTGAGACGAGAAGGAACTCCACTGAAACCTCTCATCAGGCGGTGTCACCAGACCATAAAACCTGTCATCCTGCGCATGGCAAAGGGACATGGAGGTGGAGTTGCACCGAGACCTTGCTCCATAGGAATGGATCAGCTTGTTGTGACATCAGCAGATATGGCCTTGCGATTGGACAAGTCGTTGCAGCAGACAGATGGCAATCAAGATGGCCGGGTTTGATAAGATGCAACTGCAGCTGCTTTGGTGCTGCCGGTGGAGAAGAAAGCAAGAAGAGCAAACATGGAAAGGTTGATGTTGCTTCAGTGAGTTCATCTTCGGCAACATTATGTGTTGCTGTCGGACAAAAACATCAGGTGGAGGAGCTGCTCTGTATAGCTGGGCCTGGATCTTCTCTGTTGTGGATAAACTCAGGTCAGTGTTGCTTAGGAGAGTCTTTGAAGGACAGAGGCACCACTAAACCTGGTCTGCTATCAAGACTCCTTGCTGATGCTAAGCAAAGCTTGGAGTGGACGTTTGCCTTCAGGCTGTGCAGCAGGACTGTGCATCATCAAAGGGTAGCAACGCGGGGTTTTCTGTTGAAGGCACGAGTTGTGGAGCTGCGCCCTGTTCATGCTAATGGTTTATGTACAATAACAAAAGAGAGAGATGGGAGTGCACAGGGGACCACTGGTGATGGGGGAGAAAAGTCTTGGGGAATTGCCCGAAGAAACAAAGGAGAAGGCTTGTCAATGTCGCCTTGGCAGCCTTCACACTGCAGAGGAGTACTGCCATCACCAAACACTGAAGATGGGAAAGATGCACCACACAGCTTCTGGACGGTACTTCGAGTTTGTCTCTTTTGTGCATCTTGTAAGTTGTATGCAGGTAGGAGGAAGATTTTGGGTCCTACTTTGAAGGGTATGTGCCCTTCCTGTAAAAAATCAATGCAAGTGTCATTGTCGCATTCCGTTGAGGGAGCGCGTGGGTTTAGCTACGAGGTCTGTCCAGATATCTGGACCACAACAGATCTCATCAGATTGGGGAAGCTTGTGAACATAGGGAACTCGGGCCATTCTGCAAAGGATGTGCAATTCCAGGTTCAGGTACCTTCCGGTACCCTGAAACAACTGGTGCATTGGAACGAACCGGGAGGGTTCTTGTGGATTCTAAGGGTCTTTCTCAAGGAACTTGTGTCGGATGTGTCTTATACGCAGATGCCATATCACTGGCTGCAACTGTCAGATGTGTTTCTAGTTCACCAGTATGTTATCGCAATGGATGGATTGGACTTCATATTTGTATCCATTGGAGGTGATACAAAGATGGGTCACTATGCGTCCTTGCATGTTGATTGGATGGAAGGTAAGTTCTTTGTGAGACAGGGGATTGGTGTGACATTGGACGGTGAGAACTGCCTGAGAGTGAAGATCCAGTGGGGTACGTGGAGGGAGTTGGCGGTCAAGGTGGATGAAGATGGAATTCTACATGTGGGCATGGAGGGACTTGGTCATTGCACATGCCGCTGGCAAGGCTTGGTGACCTGGCTGCTGATCCATGTGGTACACCTGAATGTGGCCACTACTTCGCCATCACAAGTTGTGACTTCGGGAGGAAAGGAAGAGAGTGAGGAGGGGGAAGGCAAGTCAAGTTCTGTCTTGCCATGTTCGCATTCAGAAAAACGATCAGACCCCTGCGGAGGAAGGAAAAGTTCTGTAGAGGGACTTGGTCAAGAACTGAGGAGTCCCGGTCATGGACGAGGTAGACGACAAGAAGAGGGCATTACATCTCCTTTGCATGGGGGCTTCGACCAGTCGGGCCATAACCAGTCTCCAAGAGAGAGACTTCTGCAGGGTGTGCGCCTGGGCACGGCTAGGCCTGACTGCAACGGAGACGAGAATTGCAATTCGAAAAAGGCTTACGATGGATGCCGAGTTAGTGGCTCAGGTAGAACATGTGACATGCCTGCTCTCACCTCCCGTGAGAGGTGTGCAATGTCGCAAATAAGGAGTTCAATGCTTAATGTTCGTCGAAGGGGGCTGAAAACACTCTTGGATCTCTTAGTAAGGAGTGACATAGAGGATGATGTTGTCGATGCACCTGATGCTGTAGTATCAGATACAACTCATAGGTCAGTGGCTGGCTCTACCCGCCAGGAGACCTATCGGTGCTCCGCACCGCTCCATGTTCAAAGTAATACATGTGAAAGGGAGTGTAGTTTTCAGAGGGGCACTGCAAATGAAGGACGGGGGCAAAGGGGAGTAGGTGTAGAGGGTAAGGAGAACAGGGTACCATCAGGTAACAGAAATGTAGATCTCAACTGTGAGGATGTAATCAACAACAATTGTGTGGGCAGCGGAGGATTTGCGAGTTCTAGGTGCCGTAGGCAGAGAGTTCCTTTACTGAAGATGCCAGTTACACAGGGATCAAGTGACAGGAAAGCAGATAGGAAGACTAGACAGTTGTTGGAAGTTCACAATGCATCTATCACTGATGTAGGTGTGTTGGAACGCTCCCCGTGCAGTGTGAAAAACAATAACTCTCAATTCGCAGGGAGTCAAGAAAGTGCAGATACAGGTGGCAAGAAATCTTCGGCAGGCGGGAGGGTTGACTCAGCAGCTGAAGGTAGAGGAACATTACTCGTGGGTGTAGACATTCGGCAAAATGAGAGCATGACCCGGACTGTTCTTACCACTGGTGAGAAGAATCAGTATCAGGAGATTGTGGATGGCAGCAATCAGCGGCCAACGTCAGGCACACGACATGAGATTGAACATTGTCATGATTTGCAGAAAAGTGAAGAGTTTGCAACAGAGCAGGAGGAGGAGGAGGACTTGGAGGAGGAGGATGGGGAAGAGGAGGAGGAGGAGGAGGAGGAAGAAGAGGAAGAAGAGGAAGAAGAGGAAGAAGAAGAGGAACAGGAAGAAGAAGAGGAAGAAGAAGAGGAAGAAGAAGAGGAAGAAGAGGAGGAAGAAGAACAACAACCACAGCAACAACAGCAGCATCAAGAATTGATACGAGAGTCACGGACTGCAAAGCAAGATGTTGCATCAAGAGATGTGAAGAAAAGGGAGAGGTCCTTGAGCAAGAATGGGTGTGGCAAGGGTCCCAACCATGAAAGTGGCAAGCAGTTGTGGGGAGAGCCCTTTCCTAGCCAGTGCAGGGATCTCAAATTGTGCAAGAGGCCCATTTTCTTGACAGTTCGGCATCTCGTGCGGTGGGTTGAAGGTGGGTTTGTTAGTGCCCTTGTCTATGAGATTGCAGGATGCACCGTACTGAAGAGTGGAGGTGAGCAGCAGATCATTGTGGATTGCAATGGAAAGTGGGATAGTGGGATCGCATTCAGTCAGGTGAAAGCTGCTATAATGTTGCTGGTGGAGACAATCCCCCAGATAGTGGTTCGCCTTTTTGTCAAAGCGGCCATCAAATCACTTTCTGCTTGGTCATCATTTTTGGAGAAAGACTGTGAGTGTGAAGGAATAACTGATAGAGGTAGTGCATGTAAGGAAACTTGTACATATAGTAGACTCAGTTGTGTTAACGTACAGCAAAGTTCTTATGCTGATGGATGGGGAGGGCAGGGGTTTGCAGGAGTGGGAGGTCATCAGGTATGTGAGGATCAGCACACGCATCTTAGAGCAGTGTCGCAGCTGAGAGCAGCGAATGCAAACGGAGAAGCTGGTCGGATAAGGAGACCGGCCTATAATGACGGAGAGAGGTGCAAAGGGCTGTTACAAGTATGTGAGCTTCTGTATGCTGTGAGCAAGAGATCCTTGATGTCGAACAGAGAGATTGTTTGTAGGAGTGGTGTGGGTTTGTTGCTTCAAGTGTATGGATGGCTAAGTCAAATCAAGTATGACTGTGGGAAGTCGTTGTTGAGCTACCGAGCTAGAGAAAATATCGGAGTTGCTCTAGGCAACAGAGGCAAGGATCAGCCTAGGAACAATGGGCTATGTGACGAGGAGTGTACAGGCAGTATCCCTGGTCAGGTGGGACGAATGGCAGGCGGCAAAGGATCACCTGCAGGTGCTGCTGCTGCTGGAGGAGAAGGTTTCAAGAATGTGATGCCTGAAGTTTGTGACAAGCAGGAGAAGCTTCTGAGTGATAGGGTGGAAAAGTGTCAGCATGATGTATCTACCAAGAATGGTTCTGTATCAGTGGGTACAAGAGAGCCACTTAGCCTTGCAGCCACTGCTGCAAGACCTGCGGTATTACCAGAGGCTTCTGCAATGAGTCCCAGAGGTGATGAAGCCTGGCCAAGCTCTCCGAAATTCTTGCTCACTAGCAATCAGTTACCAAACAAAATTGGCAGCCCCGCGAGCAGAAACAGGCAGGGACAGCGTCACCCAAGCATCTCCCCACCGGTACACAGGGATGTTGCGGCTGCGGGGGAGACAGGACGAATGGCTTCGGATGTGATGATTGCAAGTCATCCCGAAAGTGGCTTGCACAACCATATGCGAACAATGGGCACTAACGACAATGTTGTCACTAGCAGCAGTGATTTCTTTGTCAGACACAATGCTGGTCCCCAGGCTGCCTTGTTGTCCTCACCCTCATCCTTCTCTTCGGACTTTGACCAATGGGATGGCAGTCATGAATGCATCCTCACAGCACAGCATGGTCCAACTGCTTCATTTGAGGGTTGCATCCCTGTCGGGTTCTTTTCTCCCGTTGGAAACAGGGGAGCAGGAGGAAGATGGTTCCCCACCCCTCGCATTGGCCCAAGAAGTCACTTGTCCGCGATGGGAACTCAAGTGGTGTCTGGGGCTGATGATCGCGCAACCAGTCCCACGAGGGGACAGATGTCGACACCTATGTTTAAGAAAAGAGCTATGAGCGAAGTACTGCCGGACACATGGCGGTACCCAGTTGAGGACTTCAACACCAAAGGGTTGTCGGTTCTCTCAAAAGTAGCGGCAGAAAGTGATGTCCACGTTGACAATTTGGAAGAAGAGAATTACCACAGTCAGGGCGCAGTAAGCAGAGGAGGGAGCACTGTGAGGATAGCTCCTGTAGAAAAGTTTGGTTTGATGGCGGAATCAGCATCACAAGTAGTAGGAGGAGAGGGACCTAATCGGGGTTCCTTGAGAGTCCCAAAGCTAACTCTCCCTCCACAGCCCTTGATTGGGGCCCAAACTCGATCATCTAGGAGGTCTTCAACGACTACTGATCGCTCCAGAGTAGGGACGCCCCTACCTATTGGCTGGGCAGCGGGGGAAGGGGTTGTGTCTGTTAGAGGAAGGCTTACTGCCCCTGGATGGGGGCCAAGTGTACCAGCGGCATCGGCTGCTGTGCCGAAGCTGGTGCTTGCAAGACCCGGCAGTGGTTGGGTTGGGGTTGGCTCGAAGAATGCGCGCCTCATGTCAGGAACAGCCAACATCAGTAACTTCCAAAAGGAAAACCAGCTGAATTCGCCAACGAGGCTTGCCCAGGTTTCATCACCTGAGAGAATGGTCAACTCCACATGTCTGGCGCAACGTTGGAGTGGGGCGGCTGGACAGGGGGCTTGGGATGGTGAAAATCATCCAATGGTGGCGAAGAGGGCACAAGGGCAGTTGGCGCAACTTGGAAGGGAGCTTGGTGAAGCTTTGATGATGTGCGACCTCACGAGCATGATCCTGCACAAGCGGATGAGAGAGGGGACAAGAATCTTAGCAGATATGCTGGGGGGTCCTTTCGTATCCGAAATGGGAGGAAATGCAGGATCAACAGTGATGAGGCATGGGGGAGATGGTGCTGTTTTCGTTGTTCAAGATTTTCAAGTGGGGCAGAGAAAACAAGCGAGGAGTAGAATGACAGAGTCGGCATGTGATCCAGGAATGAGTAACAAATGGGAAAAAGAGCAGAGGAAGGGTGTTCTGGATCCAGTGAGTCCCAACACTCTGACTCGGATTGAGCCAAATGATATCAGTCCCTCTGCTCGCAGACAGGGCCAGCAGAGGGATGAACTGTGCTGCCACAACGGGACTGGCAGTGCCAGGATAGAATTAGTTCCAGATAGTGGGAAAAGCGGGTCACTAGGCATGGCGACTTCTTTGTCCCGAGCTGGAGTTGCTGAGCTAGTGGTTCCGAGATCTGGGAGATGGAGGGAGAACGATGGAGTTGCGGGACGAGACACTGGCAATCGGGCGGATTCCACAAACACCTTGTCTCCGAAACCTGACAGAACTGCACTGTCGGACAGGGCTGTTAACCAGGAAAGTGTTGATGTGAGAGCTGCAGGCTTGAGCAATTGGGACTGTCCTTCAACTCTAAGGAGTGAGAAGCAGATGATTTGCTTGTGCGCTGTTAAGGTTGCAGTTCTGAGAGCGCTGAAGCTGGTCTTGACCTCTACTCTTTCCCATTCCTCCAGAGAAGTGTTCGTAGGACAAACAGAAGCAGTTGGATTGCAAGCTTTGGTGGAGAATGTTATTCTGGACATGAGGTGTGACAAGAGGAAGTGTTGTAGAGATGAGGAAGAGGAGAGACGCCTCGCATATGCCATATTACATTATGTCGAATGTCGAGGTGAGCTGCCAGATTACCTTCGCCAGAACACCTTTTGTGGCCATACCACCACTGGACTTGGAAAAAGGGCTAGACTATGTGCCACCTCTTCCGTGATGTATTGGAACCCGTCAAATTACTGCGACGTCAGGCATGTGGAAGTGTTGTTGCAGGCAGTTAGTCAGGGCCTGGAGAGACTTGTTGTTAGTGTACTAGAAAGCAGGTCGAAAAGGGCAAAAATTTCAAGAAGGAAAATGTCCCAAGTTGCAACTGGGACTATGCCAAAGGATTTGGAGGAAGCTTGCATCGACATCATACACCTCCTTGGGGTGTTGGAGGAGTGCTTGTGTGCATCACCTTTGCAGCGTTGTATCAGTTCGATTCTGGTGCAGATCTGTGGCAGTTCTTTGGGAAGGCTTGTGAATTTGATTAGAGAGGAGGTTTTCGGGGGTGAAAAGTTGGCAGATGGTCCCCTTGTCATTGATATTGGATGGGGAAGCCTTTGGCCAGCTGTTATGGTGATGTGGCTTAGTCTGATGTCTGCATTGGTTTCCAGAGGAGGGACTTCAACCAGGGCATTGAGTTTCCGATGTGAATGTAAGGGTTGCGGACAGCTGCTATCTCTGCAAAGTGTGAGGGCAATCTGTGGAGGAAATGAGGAGGGAAAGAGCAGATGCCGTTATGATCAGCTGAACGACAACATGACCCACACAGCAAACGTAACTGATGCTAGGGCAACGGGGAAAAAAGGAGAACCGAACATAGAGGCAGAGCGGAACTCTACTGACGGAGGGAAACAGGAAGAAGCTCCTGAGGCACTGGAGCAGGAACTTGGAGAAGAGGATGGGAGAGCGGGAGAAAGTCATTTGCTGAGATGTAAGGATACAACGACGTTGATGGAAAATGGTGATGCTGTTAAGGGGAGGTGCATGGGTGAGGGGGTGAATGTCGTGCACAGGTTCTTGGCCAAAACTTTGTTCGGCAAAGGTCAGGGTGAATGCATCCAGTTGATAGAGAGCTTCGCCAACTGGGCATTTCTGCAGATGACAGCGGGCTGCGACGGCCAGAAGACGCACTGCAGCGTTGGTGGGGAAAGTGAAGAAGTGAGCTCTGCTCGTCAGAGGGTTACGCATGAACGGGGGACGAGCATCGGAGGATATGGCGCAAGGAACCCAAGCAGGTCTGTGCCTACAGATTCTTGTGCTATGCAAACCTCTGAAACACATTGTCTGGCACTACTGAGATGGTACCGCTCCGTTCTCCCACTTATCAGACATTGGGCCACAAACTTGGATGAGCTGTGCAATCTCATTGTTGTGGACAGAGGTGAAAGCCATAATAAGGAAGGCGGCATCACGTCTGCACAACTTGGCTTCCAAGTTGGGCAATTGCTAAGCTCGGATTGGCTGATGGAGCCAGAAAATGGATGGCTTTCGAGGATTCTTGCAAGGGGAGGAGTAGGGGGAGGAAGCAATGATAACCTGTGTAAGGAGTACAGAAACAGCAAGATAAGCACACCGTTGAGTATCGGTGGCAAGCATGCCAAGGGAGGGTCATCTGGTGGAAAGCACAGGCGAGAAAGAGGTGGTGGCGATCTCCAGCAAACTGGACGAGGCTGGAATACCGCAGATAGTCCTGGTGGTGGTGAGCTTTGGCATGCCAGAACAACGGCTTCAAATATATGGATTCCAATGCATTACGATTCTGTCAGCATTGAGGCTTTGCATCTCATCATAGACACGTTTGACTGGTTCCCAGCAATGTCTGGAGAGGGAAGAGAAGGATGTGCCAGCCCTGCTTCACTTGGTATACTGGGACAAGAAAAGAAGAGAGCATCAAACATCGGGGCAGCTGAGAGTGAAAAACTTGGAATGGGAGGAGTTGTTTGCAATAGTGGGGGAAGAGAACCCTCTGGAGATGCGGACACTCTCCAAAGTGCTGTGGTTAGTGATGCTGGAGGCACTACTGAAGAGAAGAAGGGAAAGGTGCATTACCATGCGTGGTGTCAAAGCTCTTTGAACAGTTGTAGCGGTAGACTGCTGCGAAAATGGGATGTTGTAAATGGTCCAGGTATTCATAGTTGTGCTGGCCTGCTGGGTGGGCATTGCCTTACTTCGAATCCTTTTCTGACGAAACACTACACTGATCCATTCATATATTACCACTTCCTTTGCTTTGTGAAGCTTTATAACTCGCAGGGTGCTGCGGATGAACAACTTAGAAGTCCTCTGCTACTTGTCAAAGAGGAAAACCATTCTAGCACTACCTTCCGTGACTGCAAATCTTCTTCCCGGATTGTCCGTGGCACAGTTCTGGAAGGCAAAGGTAATGTGACTAGATCAGGTACAGCTTCTGCGTACACACGTGTAGAACCCCAAAGCCCAGTTCACACCTCATCATCGGCACATGGGGAGGCGTGGTCCACGAGACTGTGCACAGAAAGGCTGGTAGGAAGGTTTGATATTGAAGATGCAGGAAGATGGGGACAGGAGAGCCGGCGTGGTCGTAGTAGGAGTACAGATGAAGTTCCGCCAGACTTTGCAAGTTTGTCTGGTGGCGACAAATCTTCCTCAAGGCTGTGCTCGACTTCCAACTACGGCATAATCGACGGCTCAACAACCTTTGCCGGGAGCGAATTGCTCGCAGAGGATGCTTGTGAGCTTCATATCAAAGCTCTCTTGGCCATTGCACAGAGTCGATCAGAGTCGGCGAGCTGGAAGTTATATCAGCTTCGGGTGATGGATTTCCTGGTGCACGAGATCGCTTTGGAATATGAGGTTTCCAAATTTGACATGGGACGCACCACCCCACCTCCTCCTCAATATCAGATGGCGCCCACTCCTGCTCTCGGCTCTGCTCCTGGGATTGCTCGTGAGACCTTGCATGAAAGGGGTCCAAGACTTGGAAAGTCCAACGATGAATCTGGCAGTTCTCGCAGGCAGGCTCAACAACAGAGCTATAACAGCACTGCAGCCCAAGCAAGGAAGGGCGCTGCAGCTGGGCAGATTATCTCTATGGCTGGCAACAATGACAGTGGTAATCTCAACTGTGCAAGCCAAGGGCAGATGGAAGGCTCTAATTGGGGCACTAATGATGAGACGATGAGGCGAAGGCCTGCTACTCCAACCGGTAAGACATGCAGTAACATCTCAGAGTCTCCCACTGACAAACACTGGGGGGACGTAACATCCCCATCCATGAAGGTACGGATTCCCAGGTTAGAGTTGAGGGATTGCTCTAGCAGCAGTTTCAGCATTGGAGGAGGAGGAGGAGGAGGAGGAGGAAGGAGTGATGAGAGGTGCTGCAGCATGCGATTTGGTTGCCTTAAGCCTGTTGATAGCAAAGCTGATGTGAGCCATGCCGCTATTGGTGCCAGTGACTCCAGGTCGATGGTAGACTTATTGACATTCAGTGACTGTAATCTTAGACATGTTGATGAGCAGAATTATGGCTACAGTTCAACTGATGGCGTAGCAAATGGTGGTGCTAACGATGACAAAAAGGAGGAAACCATAGAAAAAAAACGCAGCAGTGGTCACCAAAGCTGCAAGGGCAATCCTTCAGCTGGGAGGGAAGACCCATCTCAACAACCAGTGGTAGACAGCCCTGCTGTACATGAATCCCGAGGTTCACCTGTAGGATCAGATGAATCTACATTGAAGTTGCAAAGGAAATGCAGTACTCAACTCACTACTACTCGAGTTCTCAGCAACCCCAGGGCTGCTGGTTGTGCAGAGCAATCACGAGAGCCATGTTTTCCTTCGTCTTCAAAATTTCCGGATGGAGAAGCTGTTGTGAAGAAAACTGCTACGGGCATGATAGTGATTCCAAAATTGGGAATATCTAGGCTAGGTAACAGGAGAGAGAGCTTGAAATCCAACCTTCTTCTGTGTGGGGTAATGGAGGGGGAGCGTGAAGGTGAGGAAGAGGAACACAAAGACAGTCCTGATCAACCTATGCATCCACAAGCAGCAGCAGCAGCAGCAGCGGGAGGAGGCGGGGGAGGAGGAGGAGGAGTAGGCGTGCAGGCCACACTCATCACGAATAGTGATCGAGAGGACTCCATGGCTGCCTCAGGGAGCAGGGAGAACTGCTACACTATTTCTGACGGTTCAATGAATAGGGAGATCGGTGACACAGAGGATGCATCAATTCAAGGCATTGAGCTGAAGTATGCTGGCCGATGGGTGGACCTGAATGATGAAGTGGAGAAGGAAGAGATGGCTATACCATCTGGTGGTGATCAGGTATGCATGGTTCCCCATACCAATCTTAATTTGGGGAGCGAAAGTCGCCCCATGTCAGGGGAACGTGATTACGGTCCTTGCAGCGGGGCAAGTGCAAGGGTGGGGGCCAGTGAACCTTCTAGAGCTTCTGAAGATAAAGACCATTGCAGCTACGAGGAGGAGCAAGTATATAGGGAGGAAGATGTAGTTGAAGAGGAGGAGGAAGGTGACAAGGATGAAAATCGCACAAAGCTCGAACCATATCCAGAGGAGACCACACCGTCAAACCATAGGAAGAGGGATGAGTGGCGATCCACTGTCCTTTCAGAGGTTGGGAGGGTTTCTGCGGGTTGGCATCCAGGTAGGGACTCCATTGAAAGGAATGATTTAAAAGCGGGATTGAAGAAGGACGTGGTACCCCCTTTAAAGCTTTCCTTGATTGACAGGCCTGGTGAGGGGTGGGATAGCAGAATGACAGCGGAAGTAGAGGTCCAGGGGGAGGAACAGAAGGTCGCCAAGCACAAAATGTCGGAACGAAAAGGAGAGGGAGCTCCTGGATTGCTATCATCATCAGATCGAAAATCGTCTTCCCGACGGAAGCAACTGGGCATGATGATGAGGAAGGATTTTGAGAGGCAGCTTGGGAATGAGACTCCTACAATCTCTGGAGCAGAGGACAATGACAAACAACCATCTTCTGCAATTGCTAAAGAAGCTTGGAGTGCACACAAACACCCTTGGCAAGTAAGTATATTTCCCAGGTGTGGTCACTTTCTTTCTTTCTTTTCTATATCCTTGTCTCAAATATACCTCGCACTACCTAATCCCATGTCTACATCCATTGAAGTGTAGTTGAACCTTAAGCGCAGCAACGAAGCTGGAGTACACGAAGGGTTATAGGTGGAGCCTATCCCCTCAGGGTTGAACCTAACCCCTGGCAACGAGTGGAAGGGACTATGCCCCCCTACCAACCAAACCAGAGGGAGCAAGCTGACTATCTAAGCTGTTGAACCCACAGGGAGCCGTGGGGATTCGAATGGAAGGCGTGGGGAATTAAGGGCACTCCTTTTCCCATTTCTCTGAACACACTTCAGCCTGCACTGCTAGGCATTGTTGCATCCAATTAATTCCCACCCGAATGGTGGGTCTCAGCCAACTGTGCTGCAAGAACTCACGGCCAGCAACCTTATTGAGGTGTAAGGTCCTGCCCAAACACGGACTGAGAACACAGGTGATTTCTGAGTTTTGCCGCTGGAATGAATGCCTTGCTGAGATTCCCGCTTTCTGCTGAGTTTTCTAAGTCTGTATGTGGGTGTGATTGCTGGTCTGCGTGCCTGTCTGAGTGCTTGACGGCTTGAGTGTGTGTGTGACCCGCAAGGGTACTTGCTTGCTTGGGAGGCCCCGTAGGGCCAGTACTTACCTGTGGCCGTGACTTTGAGGGTTGCATCGGGGAAAACATTCAAGTAGCGGGAGTAGGTCCGCGGCACTTAGAACAGCGGGGAGAAATACTCGACTAGCAGGTAGGACGGTACCACTCCAGTAGCGGTAGATGTGTCGGGGACTAGAGGACGAGCAGAAGGGACTGTCCTTCTGCTGGTGCAACTCATGCCTGTCAGCCTCCCCCTTTAGGGGAGATTGTCAAACACCTTTTCTTGTCCTGCTCCAGGCCTTCATGATCTGGAGGTGATAGGATGCACTCTGGGCAAAGATGATTGGACATGGGAGTGGAGGGCCATCCTCCTGGGTTTGACATGGGGACATGAGCAACATGATAGAGCTAGGAAACATAGTAGCGGTGTGGGCCATCTGGATTTGCAGATGTGTACGGGGAAAGAGTTTTGAGTTCTCTGCTTGTGCGTGATAATGTTGGAGTGGTGGAGAGAAGGGACTGAAGGGGTGTTTAGGATCGAACAAGGGGATTGCAATGAACCCAGTCAAATGAGAAGCCCGTGAATATCGAAATACAAGTCTGACACAGTGCAGCATCAATGTCTCCAAATATCGTTTATGAAACCATGCCTGTCATACATGTAGTCTCTCAATGTCTCGAGCTCAGAGAAGAGAATGAGGAGAGAGGGAGAAGAGACTGAGAGGAGGAGGAGGAGAGTTTCCACAAGAATCAACGAAGCAGAAAACCCTCTTCAAGCCCACGTCCTCCTCGGGCATCTCCCGCACTCGCCACGTCAGCAATACAGTTCTCCTCTAACGATCTCTGACATACACAACGAACAGGTCACAGCAGGGCGCCCATCAAGGATGATAGTGTAGATCTTCCTCTTGGAGACGAGCAGCAATGCACACGTGACGTCACAGGTAAGTCCAGGTAAGCTTCTCCTCGTCACTCACACCAATCTCACAGTCCAGATCCTCCTCCTCCTCGCCCACACTCCTATCAATGTCGAAATCAATGTGGCTATGGCCACGTCAGCATAATCACCCTCACGGCTGGCGCCTGCACTCAGAATCTGGCGCCAGCATAAAGGTCCAGCTTCCAGCAGCCTTGCGTCATCGCACTAGCATCAAGCCAGCGCCAGGCAGAATGCACAAGACTGAATGATCTCCAAGCAGGGGCTGGGTCAACTTATACTATTCACTCACGTTGACCAGCCTCTGGTCTCCACGGTACAGCGGCCCAGATCAATCGGCAGCCAATGGCCAGGATGTCGCACAGTTGCAGATTTCCCATGTGTCCCACGTGTACCGGATTCTTCTGGATACCTGCAGATAACCAATGATGTGCATCTGATCTACGGCCGTGGCTGACCAGCGGGTTGACTTTGACCTCTGGGCCTGAATTCCGGTGGTGGGGTTGACCGTTGACTTTCTCAAAGTCGACTGTTCCTCGTAGGGCCTCTGAATGCTGGTTTGGCCCTACCCTGGGTAACCCTTGGCCTTAGGCCTTTTCCCAGGCTCTTCTTAGACTTAGGGCGTGACTTTTGACCCCTGTGTCGGGCCTTCGACCAAAAGTGACGACCTAGAGCCCACAGCTTGTGACGATTTGAGCCGAGTTATTCAAGGATGGTGAGATGGATGTGAAAGGGATATCGTTACTAAAAGGGAGGGGTTATGCAGTGCTGCAATTGCTGCCATGGTGTGTTGGTGAATTGGGGGGAGGAGATAGACTGGCAGGTTGTTGAACCTGTGCTTGAGGGTGTATGTTGTGGTGTGTCAGGTACTCGGATGCAAAGTGACGATGATGGGGGATAAGGATGGGAGTTGGAAGTAGTGTTGTGCCGTTTGACAAGCAGGTACCTAGTTTGTCAGGCCGAGTTCCATAGATAAACAGTATTTGCTGAGTCCAGCCATCCGTTCTGGATGGAGAACGAGCTCCTTGCTTGCACCGGGGCGAGACCCAACCAAGCCCAGCTACCACCTCCACCTACTTGCCAGCCAGGTTTCATTCCATCGAATAATGATGAGCAGCAGCAGGACTGTATGTTGGATTGTCATACTGGCTTGTATGCATTGATGTCCTTTGCTGCAGGAGCAAAACTCAGTGATATCATTGCTTGCTCCACCGCTCCTGATTCTACCTAAGAATCGGGAGTAGGTCGAGAGTCGCCAAAGGGCCTCGCTCCAGTACTCTTGATTCAGTGATTTCTGAGAGTGGATCATCACTCCACTTACTCTCGATCCCTCCACTCTCGAACATTGACAGAGAGTTGTCAGAGCGCCCCTTTTGAGACTGCTCTCGTTTTTTCGAGAAGGCTCTCCCTGCATCACTCTAAAAATTGAGAGTCCTCTCGGGGACCCTTGACTCCCAAGCTGAAAAGGAGAGTAGTTGGTTTTTTTCTTTCTTTTTTTTTCTTCGGCGTTCATGTGGAAGTTTTTTTCTTTCTTTTTTTTTTTCTTTGGCGTTCATGTGGAAGTTTTTTTAACTTTTTTTTTTTCTTTTTTTTCCTTTGGCGTTCATGTGGAGCAACGCCTCCGAAACACAGCACATTCGAGGGTCTGACAACTCTCAATGCACTCTCGATTTCGGTTGCAAATTCAGAGTAGTGGAGCGAGGCCCAAACTCTTTAAAAACCACTTTTCCGAGTCCTCATTTCACCCATTCTCGATTTTGGCATTTTCAATCGTCGCTCCATTCTCTTAATCACATGACGACAAAGAAAAATGTTGCCAGCTGGGTCCCAACGTGCCAGCCGACTCTTGAAATTCAAGGGTGGTTGAGGGGTCCCTTGATTTTTGAGTGTGCAGGCTGAGCACTCTCTATTTTTCGAAAGTGCTCTCTATCAAGCTCTTCCAACACTGCAAAAAGAGAGCGAAATCAGGAGAGGAGTGGAGTGGAGCGAGGCCGTTTCTCTCAATTTTGCACAATCAGCGGTGGTGGTGCGACACCCATCACCATTTTCATCTTCTTGAATCAAAGCTATGAAAGTTTTCTAATTGATTTTTGTTTCCATCCTGTTTGCATATTCCAGTTCTGCTGTGTAAGATTTATGACCTTTGTCTTGTGCGGCATGAAGTCTGTGGCAGGATAGAAGCGGGATTGATTCGGAGGTGGATTTCATTTACCGATTCGAAAGAGCAAAACGGAAAATATACAGATCTGGGACGCTTCATTTGTCTGTATTGCAGTTGATCATCATTCTCATGATCAATGAGGAGTAAGAATTACTTTCCAGACATAAAAACCTTATGCCGAGTCCCGACGCACTTGCTTTTTCCATTTTGGTCTCTCTCTTAGCAAAAAAAACGAGCAACTCTTCGTCCCCTCGACTTTTTCAAAGTGAAAGAAACACATGGAGATCTGTGTGCGCACAAAAAAAAAAGGGAAATGGGTGAGGCCTAAGAAGATTGGAGCAGTGAAAGTAAAAAGGCGATGCCCAATCTTGTAGGCATCAAGCAAATACAAAACCAATTGAACCCTTAGAAAAAGAAAGGGTGAAAAAAGGGAAAAAACAATTGCACGGTTTTCACGGTTTTCAACTTTTCACCCCTTTTTTTTTGTTGTTGTTGTTTTTAATGTTGGGTCCCATCTATTCAAGGGGAGCTGCACCTGCGGGAAACCAGGAACAAATTCCCACTTGTGACGGTTAAGAGTTGCCAGCCGTTGATCTTCATGATCTACAGCTAGCATCTCCTTATCCATGCAAGTGGGATAAATAATATTTGCTGAGAAAAGCTACAGGCTGGGCCGCCGCCTGGGAAATCCAGGTGGCCCGAAAACCCAGCAGGGAATTTTTATTTTTATTTTCCGAAGGTGGGGTTTTGCTGCGCTACCCCAGAGGACCCCGAATCTGCAATAAAAAGTAAATTTTGGGGGGGGAGGGGGGTGGCTGGGTGGGGGGGTGGGGGCTGGGTGTGGTGGTGGTTCAGGGGATTCAGGGGAGGGCTGGGGGTGGTGGTTCAGGAGGTCAGGGGAGGGTTTGGAGTTTGACAAAGGGTCAAAGCAGGTGGATTTCGACTGTCTTGCTTGTATGTCAGAGACTTATTGCAGGTGTGTATGTGGAAGAAGAAGAAGAAGAAGAAGAAAAAGAAGAAGAAGAAGAAGAGGAAGAAGAGTACGAGGATGACAAGTCCGAAAAAACAAACCCTGGAGAGAAAGCATACGTCCACATTGCTCCAGAAACGATTACAAAACACTCTCTCTCTCTCTCTCTCTCTCTCTCTCTCTCTCTCTCTCTCTCTCTCTCTCTCTCTCTCTCTCTCTCTCTCTCTCTCTCTCTCTCTC